AACCACAGTAGGTTTGACAGGGGAAAGGAGATAGGGTCAGAAAGCCTTCAGTGTGTGGATGACTGTGAGCATCTCGAGGTCATAGACTTGATAGCACTGTTTGGCTCTGACCAGGGACTGCAACAGGTAGGAACAGGGGTGCCACTCATTGTCAGCTCCCTTCTGGGCAAGTACTGCACCAGCCCTGAGCTTTGAAGCATCTGTAAAGAGTGTGAAGGGCTTCAAGAAGTCTGAGATGGTGAGGACTGGGGATGAGCATAACAAAGATTTCAACTTTTCAAAGGCACTGTTCCACTCTGAGGTCCATTGATAGGACACTCCTTTTTTGGTTAAGTCATGTAGGGGACATGTGACACTTGAGAAGGAAGGGATGAACTTGCAGTAGAAGTTGCAGAACCCAAGGAATCAACAAAGCCCAGTAAGGTTGTCAGGGGCTTCCCAGGTGGAAATGGCATTGGTCTTCATTGGCAAAGTTTCCATATGCCCTTTTCCAATGATCATTCCAAGGAACTCAACTTCTTTGGCCTCAAAGCAACACTTGCTGATCCTGAGGCACAATCCTTTCTTCTCACAGATCTTTAAAAACTCCCATACATGTTGCCAAAGTTCTTCCAGGGTCTTGGCATGGACTACAACATCATCCATCTATCCAACATGTTTCCCTCTTTGAGATTTGAAGGTTTGATCCATATACCTCTGGAAAGACAGAGGTGAGTTACATTGACTGAAGAACATTACTGTCAGTTCAAACAGTCCTCTAGGGGTTATGAATGCCCCTTTCCACTCATCGCCTTCCTTAACACAGAGGTTAGTAAATCCCCAATGAATATCAAACTTCGCATAATATTTTGATTCAATGAGCTTGTTGAACAAGGCCTGGGCATTGGGCAGCAGATGGGCATCTTGAATCAACAGTTTCTTCCCATCCTTCTTTGCCATGAAGAATAATGGAGCTGCTTGAGGTGATGTTGAGGGTTGAATCTTCTTGCACTTTATATTTTTGTCTAGGAATTTGTCCAACACCTTTAGTTTGTCAGGAGACATAGGGTATACCACTGCTTTCTTGGGTTTGAAGTTGTCCTTCAACTGGATCTCATGATCCAACCTGGGTCAATGTTTGGGTAGCAGAATGTCATCTTCTGTGAAAACCTTGGCAAATTCTGTGTAGCATTCTGGAAAAGTAACCTCTTCCTTCTTTGAAGCTAATGCCACTTCAAGTTCTGTGGACAAAGTAGTTTTGTTAATTTTAACATCCAGAGGTTGCACCAGATCACTATTTATCACTCCCAGGGACAGGCCAGAAGCTTCCTTCTTACTGTCTGTGTCTGAAGACACCACCTGTGACACATTAGCTTTCTCCTTTTCCAGATATACATACCCATCATCCCAACACATAATTTTTCCAGTTTCCTAGTTCATACATGGCTTGAATTCCTTGAGAAAGGGCATTCCTAGGAGAACATGTTCTTTTCCCATGAGGGGACCAATGTAACACTTGACCCATACAATGCACTCCTTTATTCCATCTTCAGGGTTACCTTGTGGGTCACTCATTCTTTGTCCTTCCTGGTGAACAATGTGGTCTTGAACTTCTGTTCCACCCAATAGGTCAGGATCTTGAGTTTCTGAACCATCTTCTCTGAGATCAAGGAAACCTCAGCACCTGAGTCAATGCACACCCATATTCCTGCTTTTTAGTCTGGCAGAATGACCAATCTGAGAGGTGAATGAATTCACATATTTGACTCATCATCTATAGAAGTACATTTAGTAGACAACACAGAAACAGGACTGACTGTAGCAGGTATTCCAGCAGTCCCCTTTAAAAACCCAATAACTTCTTTTCTTCATCATTGGCTTCCTGGTTTCCTACATAGGCAGTCTTGGTACCATCTTCTGAAACCACTATATGAATGTTGGAAAGTTGTTTCTTCTTACAGTCATGCTTGACATGACCAGCTTCTCCACAATTGAAGCATTTAATTTCCAAACCAGATCAGTGCATGTTTCATTTACATTTGTTGACATCCATTGTGTCAGGATCTTGGGAACCTCCACAGTAATGAATGTATTTCCATTCATACCAAGATTCCTTCCCTTCTAGGATATGTTTGGTGGCAATTGCTGTGCAGGCTTCCCTGGCTCACTGGATCCATTCAATGACAGTTCCCAGAGTTCATCCAGAGTTGAGGAACCAGTTGTGATACTCTTTGTTCAATCCTTTTCCAAAGAAGATCCCTGCTTCATGTGATTCTTCTTTGAGTTGGGCCTTGTTAACCAACCCTGTAAACTCTGTGATATACAACTCAAGTTCTTGTTTTCCTTGTGTAATATCTGAGAGGCATAGGATTGCAAGCATGGTCTGGTTGCTGGACTTGAAGGTGGCCTTCAACCTTGCCACAAAGCACTGGAAAGTGTTGGTGTAGTAGATGCTGCCATCAAGTAGTTTGTTTTCATTTTGATAATTCTTGGCAAATGACACCATGGCCCCTTTGGTCATATATGTAAGGGCAAATGAAATCTTGAGCAATTCGGTGTTGTAAACATGTTGATTAAGGTTCAGATATCCTTCCACTTGGGTGACCCAAGTCTGAAGCCCATTGTGGCTTCCATCACATTTGCCAGGTTGCCCAACATTAAACTCCCAACCTCCATTGGGTGAGCAGCTTGAGTATTCTGTATTCTCTTCATCATTCCAGTTCTTTCCCTTACTGCTACCATCAGCAGGTAGCTCTGGGGGAATCACCTTCCTGAAATTCCTGCAATACCAATCTTGCAAAGCCGAGTCAGGAGGTGTACCTTGAGGAAATGGGTCACTTGTAGTTGCATGCATAGCCTGGCAGAGCTCCTCCACCATCTGCACCCTTTGTTCCTCCAACCTCTGCCTCATCTCATCCTCTGATATGGTCCTCAGGGGCATCTCAGGGACAGATTCTCCATGACTGACAGTCATGGACATGTTTGTTTTATTGGCTTCCTGTTCTTCCTTGAGGACTGATCCAATCAAATGTGCTGACTAAGCACAGATGACAATGCTGACAATGGATGATGGTAGATAGACCCTTCCAAATGAGCCTCAACTACCAAGGATATGAATGATGACAGATAGACTCTTCCAAATGAGCCTCAACTGTCAACAATGAGTTAGGACTAAGATGAACTGACTGATTCCTGAGTGACTTCTTGGTTGCTTTTGTAGCTAAGTACAGGGGGTTTATATACTGTGGGGGGAGTGCAGCTTATGACAAATGAGGCACAAATGCTTGGTAAGTAATGAGTAAGGACTGTAAGCAATGAGTAATCATGATGAGTGAGCAAGAAATGAAAAGTAAGCAAGCAAAGAGGATTGGTAAGTATTGACAACAAACAAGTCAAGGACAGTCAAAACATCACAGTATGAGTCAAAGAAGGTCAGAATCTGAGTAAGCACACTGGTATCACATTAGGGGGTGACAATGCATGTCAGATCTCAGTGGGAACATTGCTAGATCCAAAGATGGGATCACAGATGGACAGTGTTTCCAGATAGGGAAGTATTAATTCCAGAAATGAATGGCATGAGTCAGGTGTCAAAGGGCTAGGGCATTGGGGGTCTGTGGGGCAATGGGAGCATAGGCAATCACATCTCCCACCCATTTGTCCTCTCAGTGAAGTTAATAAAAGCTTCATGAATGGGGCTCTGATGGAGGAGAGGGAGAAGGGGGGATGTCTTCTGCTGGGTCTTGCAGTAAAAAGGCAAGATGCATGTCATACTCATCATGGATGTGATCAGGGAGACTGGAGAACAGTAGATTATACTGCAGCTGTTGCAATGTGGGGAGAGTGATGGACAAGATTGGAATAAAGACATTTCAGGGAGCAGGGAGGAAGGATCCATATGCTTCATCAAGTGGGGAGACTGAAACAACCATGTAAGACCTTTGTAACCAAGTGACAGACCTGAGGTGACCAAAGAATGTCCTTCTGGAAGTCATACTGACAAGGAGAACATGCTGACCAAGCCACATGGGATGGGATGGGGCTGACAATGATGGAATGAACCAGGGGACTTCAGGATGGAAGCTGGTGGGAACACCTGGCAGATATACATAGCTACTGTCTCTGGAAAAAGAGACAAGTAAGATGATCAACAAAGAGGGTGCCATATTTGATGGATGGAGTGCTGTAGAAATGCATAGGGTGTGAGGATCCTTTCCAAACTCAGAAGGCAGAATCACATGGCTGAGCACTTTAAGTGAGTGTGAGAATGGGGTTGATATCTTTGGAAATGGTGGAGATATGATGAAAACTGGAATGCCATACTCAAGCACTAAAAACTTTTGATGGGTGCTTGACTCACTTCCTGTTTTCTCTTTAGCACTGATGACTCATTCTTGTGTGAAGGATGACTGCTCACATCCAGCAGTCCTTCTATGCATGAAGGCTTTAGTCTTCATCTGCATGGCATGGCATGCAACTTGTCAACAAGTTAGGCAGAGTCAGCTGTAACCATGTCCACAACACCTTTGGTGTGTGACAACACATTGAACACATCTGGCATGAGGTTGGTGCTCACTTTGCACATCCTTGGTGTGCCTTTTTCTACTGACTGGAATATTGCCACCATCTCAATTGCTTTAACCACCACCATCTGTGGCTTCTACACCAGCTCTTCCTTCAAGAAATCAAGGCTGATTCCATGTCATTTTGTGAGGAGTAGAATTCACACCCAATATCAGGTGAAGGTCATGATCAGAGCCCTTGGGTAAGTGTGCACCTGATTTCTAGCCAGTGTCTGTGGATTGAAATAAATTCTGGAAGGACATGCATCTCCTGGGACAGTTGGAACATGGATTATGTCTGGAGAATGGCATATCTCCCAACCCAGATGTCATCTCCCACTACTATGGCCTACAGCACCCAGCCAACCAGCCCACCTCAGGTGATGATAGTGATGATGGTGGATGGGAAGGCATCATGGGTCACAGTGACATGACTGCTGACCATTCTGACTTCCATCCATGATTGCAGATGACCAAGCACCTGAATTTGCACATGATGGTGCTGCAGTTCCAGTAGAAGTTGACCCATTCCCCTCCTCCAATCAGCAAGAAGTTTTCTGGAAGGCTTTGCAGCATGTGCATGAAATTGGCCATGTTCCCCATGGCTATGGCATGCAGCAGGAGGAATGGGGTGAGAAAGGCTACCCTGAATTAGAGGCAATTCCATCAGGGTGACATGGACAGAAGGAAATCATAGTGGAACTTCCAGATTTCATCTGGTGGCCATGGGCTATTAGATGGTGCCAGGCCCTGGAAGTACTCATTCATATCCTGGAAACTGCCAACTAGATTCCCCTATGGTAAGCATAGCTACTGGACTGCTGTGTTGGTTTGTGTTATGGTAGTCAATTACATGATTGAGTTTGGCTGTGGAAGTTTAATGTTGCTGTCACCTGTGGCAAGCAAGCTACCATTCCTTCTCTTTCTTTTCACTTTTTACTACACTTTCTAAAGACCAACTCCTTCACCTTCATTCATATTTAATCTCTCTATCCTCACCATGGGAAAAAAGTGAGGCTTCAGAAGGCTTTTATCATCTGATGATGATCTACCTCTCAAGCTATCTACAAGCCAGCCAGCCTACCTTGTTGACTCTGTGCTACAAAAAATGCTATCCTCCACTGCAAATTTTCCTGCCACCAGGGCCTCAAGTTCTTGTTCTCAGGCTTCAAAACCCTCCACATCACTCATGCCCTTGTACAAGCAGGCAGATTTGGAGTCAAACTGAGGACTGAAGACCATGAGTTGTCAGTGAGTGAGCATTGTGAAATGACCCCACAGGCAAAAAGGTAAGTTCTTCCTACAGTGCCATGGACTGGGTACATCATGCTTCTCATTTGTAGCAGGACAGACACAGGAGCCAAGGAATCTCTCATCTTCAGTACCTCAGATCATCTTCCTACCCTATGGGACAGTGGAGGTATGTGCTGCCTGTTGTATGTCCTCTGTTGTTTTACCACTAATCTATACACAGCCTGAAGACAATGACAGTATGGATGATGCTTAACCCTTGCTTGCACATCTCTTTCCTGTCATTCACTGGTCCAAGGCTCCTTCAACTGCTGAGTTCAGTTGGCTGGAGGCATTGGGTCTTGCTCATGCAAACTTTCATGAATACTTTCACTTTCATCATGACTGGGACTTTCCACAGCTGGATGAGGAGCTTCACTTGTTATTCCCCCAGCTCTTTGCATATCTTGACTTGCAGCCAAAGGTAAGTCAGTTCATTTCCCAGCCTTATGATACTAATGTCATGCAAGGCCATCAATCACAGGTATGACAGCAGCAAACAGGATCCCTGCTACAAATCGCTGCCACCCTACCATCTCTGTGTCAAAAGTCATAGTGAAGTTGCCATCACAAGTGGTGCTGACTTCCCTACTGGGGAGATCATATATGAGAAGGTGAAGGCTGGAAAGTGATCATCACATGATGACAGTGAAATCCTTTTCAGTTAGTCTGTCATTTACAAATTTGGCTGTGCAATGGGTAACTAATGTACCCTATACTAGTAACCCACAACAGGATCCCCAACTCTGTTCTGGAGCAGTAGAAATATCCCACAATCAAGGCTACTGGAAAGTGAAAGGCTGCATACCTGTCAGATTCTGACACCAATCAGAAGTTTGCTTCAAGACTGGCTGAGTCAGATGATGGGTTTGATGCACCTGTGTCACCATCAAAACATCATCCCAAATGCCTGTGGGTTATGCAAATTACTGGTAAGTGCTGGTCAGCCCATCCTGCAATGTGATGCTGACATCAGCAAGATTCAGATGGTGCAGATGATATGCCAACCACACCAGCCATGACCCCCACCATGATTGGCCTTAGTGGCCCTGACACAGAAATGGGGGAATCTGCAGGTACTTCTGCACCAGCTGAGTTACCCCCACCAACAGCTCCATCCACCCCAGTCATGTCTCCTGCTTGTGCACTGCAGAATAACTCCTTCATGATAGATGACATCATCACCAATCCTTGGAAGGTGAATCATACATTCCATTTCTAACCATGAACACTCCCAATGCTAGTGAGTAGAATAAACCACCAATCCATCATTAAATCATCCTACCCTGTCACATATGGCCCTTCTCTACATACCATTTCTTGCTGATTCTACCATTTAATACACTCTTTTCTTGTAAAAGCTGTGTGAAACTTTGTGGTATGGGTGGTGCAAAAACAATCATGGTGTCATCAGATTGTGTTGACAAAAATTTGCCACTGATCCAAAAATGTGGACATATTTACTTGAGAAAGATGCATATTACATGCCCATGTAGTCTAGTGGTAAACATGTGTGACCCCTGTTGTGATACTGTGCAGGACTTGCCACCATGTCATCACAAAGTCTGCAGCTCAATTCCAGGTAGTGACAATAATTTGCCACATTGTATATACTCCCATACTCATACTTTAGCATAGTCTTACATTGTTCTGTACTGAACTTCTACCTTTTTGGGGCCTCATATTCATCATACCATAGTAGTATTGCTGTAATCAGTTGGCCTTCATGGGGGCAGGTGTCTGTGCAAGCATGCTTCATGGCATGCCAATGTATTACATAAGCCAATACCACTATGAAATTTGTCACAGTGCACAGATGTATTGCATAATCATTACATAAGCACATGCAGATTGCTTCCCACACAAACTCATTATTTCCCACATTACTGTAAGTTTGTCCTGCACTATTTTGTGTACATTTCCCATGCTTAATATTTGTGCAAGTGTAACACTATAGTAGGGTCTACTGCAATGCTCTCATGAAAATATTGCAAACAGAGGTTTGAGTGCTGAGTGGGGAATCAACACTATAGATGTGACATCACTGGTATCAAGTCAATCAATGACACCCATGCAACCCTGCAGTCCAACACCAGGCAGGAATGATTACTAAATGAATGTTGGACACATTGGACACTGAGTGCTGAGCAATCACAATCTCCACACAGGAATTTGAGCACTTCAAGCTGCTGGGTCATCATATCTGATAAGTACAGCAGGCAGTACACATAGCATACTAATATACTATGCTATGAATCACGACCATCTGCCAAGGCTGGGGGGTCTAAGCAACATCAACGTCAAGTTGTGCAACCCTCCACTCGGATCCTGTTTGGAACGTAAGTCCATTTTTCACTAACTGCCAAATGTTTGCTTCCACATCCTGATGCCATCCTGCACGATCAACTCAAAATTTGCAGTTCACACGCACTGCCACCTGCGAATTTTCCAGAATAAACATACTTTCTATAGTGGAAGAACAGTTCGGTCCATTTGGAGTTGTCTTGGGGTAGGATAACAAGCGACAAAGCTCGAAGTGCAAAAATCGACACCGACAAGGTAGTGTATGTGAGGAAATTTAGCAGCCAGGCCGGATATACATACATATTATGCTTAAGAACATCATGATGACTGAATAGCACAAATACGTTAGGGTGAAATGGCCTGTATTGAAGACAAAATCACTTCGTGTAACAACTCTGCCGACCCTCCACCCTCCGCTAAGACACGGGTGTCTTCCATACGACTGAAAACCTCTCCAATGCACTTAGCTGCACCGGAGAGATGGGCAACCCTGGCACTAGCAGCATGAATAGCAAGGTAGTTTGGACTAGGGAGAGGAAGCTTCGGATCGTTGTTGTAAAGGTCACGAATCGGGCAATTTGGTTAAGGTAGCCGCGCTTGGATGCTTCAAGTTTGTACGTATTGGGTACGCCCTACAATGCGGGTCCCTTGCTCGAATCCCTCAGACAAGACAGGGAAAATATGATTCGCATCGTTTCAGCAAAGCAAATGTCCAACGAATCAAACAGCAGGTGCAAGTTTGCTTCCATCGTCATGACATTTTCGAGTCGATGTATATTGGGACCATTGAGCTCCTCCCGCAGGCGTCGGTAGCCAAAGCGATCAAGTATTGCCCAAACAGAAGCAGCATGGTGCTCCTAAAACAACAATCAACAAGGAAGAAGTGAATATCGAGCAAAAAACCGACTTTGTTTGACCCTGATGTGATATTTGCGTTGATAGACTCCGGAAAGATGTGAGTACAGTGAGTGCACACCAAGCGCGCTTGTTCCCTCTCAGCGGCCTCTCGCAGGTCGCAGCTGCCCTTGATGGCATGCCTATCATACAGTTTGGTGATAACACTGGTAACCATCCCTAACGAGGGCCTGTTGACATAAAATAAATGTAAGACACAATAATAACAGGCTAAAATGGGTGATACGAACGAGCTTCTTAGCAGTTTGATGATTTTGAGGGGTCTCTTGCAATGTGCCCTTTATCTGATCTACGACTTTGTCAAAGGACAATCTAGATGGGTGAGACGAAGGCATCTGTGTGCACCTTTTGCTAGATCTGACTTGGCTGGTTAAGTATGTCCGACGCAAAAGCTGTGAACTTGGAGGACGCACACAGTCGAGTGAAAAACTGATAGAAGTGCTGCCCTAACTCCAACAGTTTTTCGTCGTCGGAACTGATTGTGGAGATCTCCCGAACGAAGTCACCATTCACCTGGTGACCCAGAAAATGGTGGAAGAGGTAGCCGAGTATTCGGCAATAAATCATCTGCTTCTCCATTTCTTCCCCGAGTCAATCTCACCTTGAATTGTTTTTTCAAGTCTGAGGATTATGTTGTATGCGTTCATGATATTGGCTTGGTCACGATAGCATTCCATCGTGGGTGGAAGGGGCGACATGAGGATTGAATATTGAATGGTAAGAGTCGTGCCATACACATTGGTGGCAAGTACTAAAGTTATCTTCCTCGCTCGAGTAGGGAAGCCGCCGGCATATCACGTGAGTCACGTGAGGTGTTGGGGGTTGATTGACTTGAGGGCTGGCAGCATTTGAAAGTCACATATATCTCGAGGTCTTGCACATGCAGCATACATTTATAAGGGTAACAATAGTGATACAGCCAAATTCTACGTTACTGTGGGAAGCCTGGCATTTATCAATTTACTGGTGGAATCTTCGATAAAAATTCTTCATACACCTTCTCGTCTGATTCCTCCTCAAGTTCATGGTCGAGTTTGCTGATTTCCTGCTCTGCAGCATCCTTTAATTCGGGTGATTTTGCCTGTTCCAGCTTCAACTGGGCAAGGTCTTTTTCTGCCTTGAAACCATCACGAGTGCTGAGTCTCTTCCGAAGAAAGATCGCCAGTGTCAACACAAGAATGGAGTTGATGTTGTGAGGCACTCGAGGGGCAGCCAGGAAATCCCTCTTCTCCTTAGCGCATCCACGGGCATTGACTTTGGCCCATGAATCCAGGGGTCCTGAGTTCAGCGGCTTGCCGTCCTTGTACTGCAGGGAAATCCAGATGAATACGTAGATCAACGATTCCACATCATGGCGGTATCGGTGCTTCACTTTGCCATTCTGGCCATCTTCCATGAGGAGATCGATCGCCATGAATGGTATTGTTCCAGTCCGCTCGTTACCCAATGGGTTGGGAGAAAATGCCAAAGACGAAAGGTCGTAATCGTTTAAGACGCCCATCACCTTGCCGCCCACCCTATAGTACATCAGGTTTAAGTGGCTCACGTCACGATGATAGATCCCCTCCCTCCAGAGGGCATAGTGACCTAGAATAGCATGACTGTCAGAACCAAGACACCACAAAAACAAAGCGGGGCTTACACAAAATGCACTGCCGCCATGCGTCAACCAGTTCATTGTCTTCGAGATCTGTGATTGGCCAAAGCTTCTTGAATACGAGCAGGACGAGACTCCGGCTGCCTTTCTCAGGGTGCTCGAGGTCAAGAGCCTTCCTAATTGCAGATGTGGAATCCAGAAACCTCTTCGACAAGAGCAAAATCGGCACGTGCCCTCGGACATCCTTGTCTCTGGTCCCAGCTTCCGTGACGCGATCCAAAATGTCTTTCTCTGCGATTCGTTTCTCCTCCGCCCAGTAAATTTTCGCCACCATGCCGTCGACCGTTTCCGCCGGATTCTCCTGCTTTAGTGCTTCGCAGGTGACGTCCATAACACCAGTCCCACGTCCTGCCAGCCCATACCGGGGATCCCACTGGTCGACCAGTTTCAGTGTCTTTCCTTCGACCTCGACGGTGTAAGACTCGACGTGGTCCCCTTTGAGATGCGGTTTAAAGGCTGTGTTTCGACCCCAGTCCTCCAAATTGAATCGCTGGAGAGCGTATAACAACACCAGAAAGCGAGAGAGATCTTGAACAAAATTGAACCCTGCCACGCTGATGAGGCCTTGGTGGTCGTAATACCAAATCCAAATGTTGTCGCCTGAAAGGCATCCAGCGCAATCCGCTCACTAGCGAGAAAAAAAATACGCACCTACAACAATAAAATTGAGGGCATGATTCATCGCAATATTGGCGGACTGCATCTCAGCAGCATACAGCGCTGACTGAATTGTTATGTGTGCCCCAGGCGACTCCTCCGTCCTAAGTCGCTTGCTCGAGCGAGGCTCAGAATCGGCCACCAACGTGCGTTTCCTGGATGCCATTTGAGTGCTTTCCTGAGTGGTCGGGCGGGCTGATCTGCGTACTATTGGGTGCATGTTAAGCCTGACTGAACAGTTTAATTCCATTACTCACCCGGAAGCGATTCTGCGGGTGTCACTTGCTTGGTAGCAGGAGCCTCTCGCGGCTCTCTTCCTTCCGGTTCATTTCTATCTTTGGCAATCTCCAAAAACTTTGGTTTGGAGGCTTCGTACTTTGACACGGAATATTGCTCGGGAGGAGATTTCATCTTCGACCTGGATCGCTTGAACTCGAAGACGCCGAACACATCCCTCCATGATCTCACGGGTATCTTATTTTGGATTAACCCCGATACATGCTCGTCCCATGTGGTGGATCTACTCCCTGAAAAATACTCGGAGACGTTCGCGAATGGAAGAACGACGATATCTGGTTTGCGTTTCGAATCACACCCTTGGTGCTTTTGAACGATGACATTTGGATCGTTGCGCTGAAAGAACATCTGTACTGCCTGGCTTTCCCCTTGACGCATACCATTGATATCCAGCTTCTTCAGGTGCGCAAGAGCAGTGTTAGATGCTAGGACGAAGGGCTGGTACAAGCCATCCTCCGGTTTACACGTTGTGCTGGTACAAGACGTTAGCAAAGAATGCTGACATCAACACTGGCATGCAAGTCACAAAACTTACTACTCTTCGAGAGCCTTCCTGATATCCAAGAGCGGGAAATTCACGATATCTTCACCTGGGATTTGCCCATTACATATGGGCAGGACTGCCTCCATGCATCTGTTTAATAGGGCATGGTTCTCCAAGTCGATAGGGTCATCTGGCGAGTTCGAAGCCCGGCTCAATATGTACTCGAGCATATTATCTGCCTCGCATTGCTGTGCTTTGCAGACGTCTTCCGCAGCCCAACCCGTCAGATCGTCAACACTTGATTAGTGTTATGAATCAGGTTTATTTCGATGAGGACAGAAGTGGACGAACGCACCGAAGGCCGCTGATGGGGAGCTGTCCGCTCCCCGCACAGAGACCTCGGCTGTTTGGAGTCGATTCACCTTGGCTGCGATTTAGAGCGCTAGAGGAAATAACCATTGCTCCGCTGCCGGATTCAGACATGTCACTGGCAGTTAAAGATTCGCATTAGATGGATAGTAGTGTTGTATCGTGATGGGAGCCTGGAAGTTGAACGTTGAACGTTGAGTACTGAGTGGCAAGAGTCGTCCCATGCTTATCGCTGTTAAGTCAGTTTATTCCAGAAAATTGGCAGGTGGCGGTGCGTGGGACCTGCAAATTTTGGATCGGCCTCCCAGCCACAGCGGCTCGCCCTCAGCGGCGGGGATGGCCGTTCGGAGTGACTGACCGCTCGTGACGGCACCGGCATCGTCGATCGTGCAGGATGGTGTCACATCAGTAAATTCAGCCAAATTACAGCATGCACATTAGACAGTTTTTGAATTCTCGGCAAACACTGGTGAACATTAAGCGCTTGAAAACCCAGGTTTTTGAATGCTTAGCTTTACTGATGTCAGACCTCTGTTTATGACATTTTCACGAGAGCATTGCAGTAGACCCTACAACTCTAAGTCTGTTTTTATGGTGACCATCAACTTGCTACAGTACAGATGGGGCCATCTGGCTGGAAGAAAGAGTGGGAAAGTAGACCACTACTTCATGCACAGTGTATGTACAATATGCATTCATCAGTTCTGCATGTACCTGCATGGCAGTGTGAATTGCCTAAATGCATACTTACAAAACACCTCACCTGGGACCCTCCCACCATAATACCGTAATTCCTAGTGGGCCATCACAAGTACATGGGATCCAGGCCTTCACAAGCTTCAACATGTCCTGTCAACTGGTTTGCTAATTTCACTGGTTCAAAAATGCAAACAGGGCCAGCCTGGATGCAAAGGTGCATACTCATTTCCCATCACAAAGTCACTTTACAGGACTTTACAATTGCTTTCCAGCACTTTGCAGCTCGAACCGGTCTGCAGCCTTGAGGCCTATTGGGTCCAGGGCACTGACATAATTGCTTAGGGCAGGTTAGCAGGGTGCATGGCAGCAGGAGCCCTTACCTGCCTTTGCCCTCCATCTTCGATGCTTGATGCTCTTTGATCGCTGCCATTGGTGAGTACTTGTCAGCGAGCCTATCCCAACATTTCACCCAGTTGACAGATTGCTATTGCTCAAAGGTTGATTCAGTTCCATTGGATGGGTCTGGTGAGCAGCCCATTGGCCATTCCCTTTGCTGGGCAGTTTGGCACTGGATGTCATGTCTATGCAGCTGTTCTTGAGCTGATCATTGGTCCCCTTCAAGATTTTCAAGACTGGGAGGTTTGACTTGGCCTGAAGACTGTCCTCACACGTACCAATCAGTTGGTGAGCCGCATCATCAACTCCTTCCCTTCCTCTTCCACTCATAAGTTTTGAAACATAGATCTCATGCATTGAGTATATCTATTCTCGTGACACCATCTACCATGATGCTAAACTGGCAAGTAGACTATGCCAACCTATTTGTCAGCTGGGTGCTGCCCTATGTCAACTGGCTTTCTACATCATCATGCTCCTCGACCTCCCAAGAGTCTTCTGCCATGTTCCAAAACCATGCGGGTGCTTGAACTGTGGGTGGTGAGTAATTTTTTCTCTGCTGTTCGTTTGCATGGCCACATTAACTGTAATTAGCTTCTTGCTCCTGCAGGGAGACAATGTACACTTGGCAAGCTTGCTACTGAGAACTTCAGCATGTGTGGTGGTGGAGCAGGCACCCAGTTGCTCACTGTGGGCTTTAATGCCAGGTTAGTCGCCTGCTTTGTATGGTCCATTTCATCTCTCATGAGCCCCACTAGTGCATGGATGTATTCATTGCTTAACATGTTTTCGTGGTGCCAAGCTGGCACAGGACAGTCACATGAAATATGAATGATTTTCCATTGCCTTTCTTCCATCTCTCAGGTGCCCCTCCACCCGTACTTTGTTTTTGATGGGCCAGACTGCCCTCAGCTCAAGAGGGGAAAAGACATCATGTGCCCATGCTATCCACCCCTCCTTGTGCAGTGCTTTCAAGAGCTGTTGATGGCATTTGGTTTCAGCTGGCACACAGTGAGTTGTTGACTGTACATGCTGCCGGGTGCTAACAAAGCTCACAAGGCTCCAGGGGAGGCAGAGGCAGAACTTGCCTGCCTCCAGTCATGTGCCCTCATCGATGTCGTGGTGACACTGTACAACGATGTGCTGCTGTTTGGTGTGACTTGCATTGTTTGCAGGTAGGTCAGTTCAAACATGGACATGTGGTCATTTAGCTTACCACAAATAGTGGCATCCCACCATCTGGCAAGTATGAAGACATGCAACTCTATTCATCTGACACCTTACAAAATTGCACTGGCCTTGAGTGGGGTGACCTCCTCCTTGTTATGCTGATGAGTAGTGTAGATAGTGAGGTAAGTGCCATATTCAGCCCCCTGAATTGGGTGGCATCCTCATTCAATTCATTAGACAGGTTGCCAGTGGTGCAGCACAGATGTTGCCCATTGATTGGTAAATTATGGCTTTGGAAAGACCCTCTTCCAAGCCACTATCATGTTTCAGTTTGTGGAGTTTATGGAGTTTGTTGCCAGGTGGTGTGACAATGTCTGTGAGGTACTATGAATGGATCCTCAACACCTCCTCAGACATAGGCACCATGAGCTTGCCCATATCATTGTGGAGGAATGCATTGAGTTCCCTGACCCCACAATCTTAGTGATGTATCTGTTACCTCTTACCTCATCGTCAGAGGGTTGCCATCCCCCCATTGCTGTTGTGAGGTCTTGTCAGTCTGATCTTGCATCACTGGCAGAGTTCTGTTCATGGCACCTTGGCTGGTTGCCAGATACCATCTGGTCCAGATTGATGGGTGCTCGTGCTGGTGCAGCCATGCATGCACTTCTGCAGGTGAGTCTTACAATTGTGCCAAATATGCCCACCCCACCTCATCATCCACCATCCACAGCTGCCAGGGAACGTCAATAGTGAGTGGCTGCAACATGACCTTTGGGTCCTGAGCCATTCTGACAAGTCATACAAGCTCTCTGTGCTGAGTTTGCCACTTGAAACACCAGTGGATGCAGATCCATCGCCTGCGTACAAGATAGAGATGCCAGCAGTCGTGTTAGAATACTCAAGACCTGATTTGGTGGAATTGACAGTTAACCTTCCTTGTGAAACTGGAGTTATTGACCTGGTAGGTGGTGTGGATGCACCACATCTTGAAGCTGGAGTCATTGGTCTCATGGATGAGGACTAGTCATTTGCCTAGCACACATTTCTATAGTGTTGTATCAGTTTGTGAGTGACACAATCACCATGTCTGTGCAAGTCTACCTCGCTTACTTCCCTGCCTGTTGTGCTTTGCTCCATGCTACTGCAAGTCTGCCTGCCCAAGTGAACGTGACATATCAGACTCTGTCCTCCAGATCTGACTTGCCAACTGCCTGCCTTCGCATTGCTCCTGCTGCCTCGGTTTGTGTTGTTGCCCAGATCATTATGAACTCAGTTGCGCTTGCTGCAATCTCCTAGGTAATTCTGTAGGTTCAACTCATTATACATACTGACTTTTACCCAAAGAGAGGTGTATTCATTGGCTTCACACATCTGAAAGGAAAAAAGAAAAAGAAATTGCAGTTCATTCCCAAGGCTGGGTACTACAAATTTTGGGAGGGATCTGATGGACCAGAGATTAGTGTTCAGGTGGGCATTGTTTTCAGTGAGTGTGCCATTTCTAACGATAATGTCAGTTTATTGCCCCATCATCCTCCAACTCTTGCATTCACTGGGAACCCTGGAAACCCTTGAATGCAAGTAATCTGTCTTCTCAGTTTGCATGTGTCCCGCTGTCTCCCCACTCTGGTATCCTCTGTCTCATTTATTTCACCCTTCCCACATACTATATCTGGAGACTGCCCACGACAAGCCTACCTCATTCCCTATGACTGCCAATTCTGCAATGCTCACAGATCAAAATATGCACTAGGTTCAGTCAGTGAGATAAAAATTTGAAGGTATGGTTGAGTGTCAACTTAACCTTGCTTGTGAATGGTCACTGCAGGATCCAAAGGTTAATATCAATGTTTTGCCAATGTCCATCTGTGTAGGGCAGCAGAGTGTAGGAGGAAAGCATATACCATTTGGCAGGAACCCTTCTTCCATGCCATGGCTGGTCAAGAAGGTCTTATTGAGCTCGCTGTCAAAATGGTGGAGACAGGCAATGTCTGCTATGATGGTACAGTGCGCAATTTGTTGGGTGACCTCATCCAGCTTATGTACAGAGAAGATGGGATGCATGATGCATTTATCATGTGCCCAGAGGATTGATGCATTTGGGCTCAGCAACAGGGAGTTGGAGCAAAGATTCCACATTCATCGAATCCTTCTTCACCATCCCAGATGATGAGGGGAGCATCAAGATGAAGATGGAGTGGGTTTTGGGACTGACAGTGTCAATTTAAAGGCAGTGATCTGTGTTCCAGGTGTTGACTTGACTTACCTTGGTCATTATGAACCCAGTCATGCTCACTGAGATCTCCTAGGTAACTGTCCTTACCTCATTTGCCTTCTGTACCTGACCAACTTTCTGCACCTCATATGGATCGACCTGCTATACATACTTTTGCCCAAAGGGGCACCCCATCATCTCCCTACTCTCTGGTTCACTGGAAAAGATGACTTCAGCCCGGAGGTGAGGGGATTTGTGGAGAACTCATACATATGCAGTCTGACCCCTGCAGGGGGGTACTTTTTCCATGCCATGGCTGGTCAAGAAGGTCTCATCGATACTGCCATCAAGACGGTGGAGGCAAACTATACCCAATGACATCTCATCACATCATATCCCCCTCCCCAGCTTTCTCTGTGCCCCCCCAACCAATGCCTGTCGGTGTCAAATATCTGTCAGCCAAAATCGTATCCACATTGTCTTTGCCAGGGTACTCCTCAATGGAGCATGTATGCACCTCTGTCAGCCAAAATCATATCCACATTGTCTTTGCCAGGGTACTCCTCAATGGAGCATGTATGCACCTCTGTCAGCCAAAATCATATCCACATCATCTTTGCCAGAGCACTCCTTGATGAAGCATGTATGCACCTCTGTCAGTGAAAATTGTGTCCACATAGTCTTCATCAGGGTACTTCTTGATGGAGCATGTATGCACCCCCCCTATTGTTGAAGATGGAGATGTTCGCATTCATGTCACCTGCTGTTTGGTAAACACCTTTTGGTTCTTTGCATTCATTTTGTGTCAATCTCATGGACAATGACAGTGGCTTGTTCACATCTTCCACATCAACTGCTGCAAGCCTAGTGACCTCAAACCAGCCTACACTGTTGATGCAGTCCACCAGCTTCATGGAGAGGTTAGCAGGGAAGCACAGGTGAATGCTTTGCTGACCTTCTGCATGCACATACGAGCCACACATGCTACCTGCCACATATTGGAAGAGTTCCACCTCAACCACAAAGCATTTGAGTGGGTGTTGGACAAGATTGAGGCAAAGTTCAACCATACTCTGGTCAACCCTGGGCAGATGTGCAGTACTGTTGCTGCCCAGTCCATTGGTGAACCAGCTACTCAAATGACTCTCAACACCTTCCACTATGCCAGTGTGTCCAGCAAAAATGCTACACTCAGTGTCCCCCATCTGAAAGAAATCATCAATGTTGCTACCAATATCAAAACGCTTTCACCTTCTGTGTACTTGGAATCCTACATGGCCCAGGACAAGAAGACTCCATGTTCATTGAATCTTTCTTCGCTATCATTGAACCAGTTACTCAAAGTGACTCTCAACGCCTTCCACCATGCTGGTGTATACAACAGAAATGCTAAGCTTGGTATCCCCTGTCTGAAAGAAATCATCAACATCGCTACTTGGTATGACCCCGACCCTACATCCACCATTATCAAAGACTCTGTGTTCATTGAAGCTTTCTTTGCTATTGTTGAACCAGTCACTCAAATGACTCTTATACAATAGAAATGCTATGCTTGGTATCCCCCATCTGAAAGAAATCATCAACATCACTACAAATATCAAAATGCTTTCACTTTCTGTGGATTTGGTATGACCATGACCCTATGTCCACCATTATTGAAGAAGACTCCGTGTTTGTCAAATCTTTCTTCACCATTCCAGATGAGGAAATCGAGTCAAAGCTCCACCTTCAGTCACCATGGCACCTTTGGCTGGTGCTTGACCGTGCCAGAAAGATTGATTGGAGTCTTGCTGTGGTTGCTGGCTGCATCACTGGGAGCTTCAAGATGGACCTCTTCATTGTCTGGAGTGAAGATAACTCAGAGAAATGGGCAGGGTACAGTCGAAGAAGACGTCTTCCTCTGCCAATTCAAGAACACAACATTGAACTTGGTCAGCCTGTGCAGTGTCCCTACCTCGTATTTTTGTTGGAGTATGATGAGGGGAGCATCCAGAGAAATGGGCAGGGTACAGTCGAAGAAGACGTCTTCCTCTGCCAATTCAAGAACACAACATTGAACTTGGTCAGCCTGTGCAGTGTCCCTACCTCGTATTTTTGTTGGAGTATGATGCTCCCCTCATCATACTCCAACAAAAATACGAGGTAGGGACACTGCACAGGCTGACCAAGTTCAATGTTGTGTTCTTGAATTGGCAGAGGAAGACGTCTTCTTCGACTGTACCCTGCCCATTTCTCTGAGTTATCTTCACTCCAGACAATGAAGAGGTCCATCTTGAAGCTCCCAGTGATGCAGCCAGCAACCACAGCAAGACTCCAATCAATCTTTCTGGCACGGTCAAGCACCAGCCAAAGGTGCCATGGTGACTGAAGGTGGAGCTTTGACTCGATTTCCTCATCTGGAATGGTGAAGAAAGATTTGACAAACACGGAGTCTTCTTCAATAATGGTGGACATAGGGTCATGGTCATACCAAATCCACAGAAAGTGAAAGCATTTTGATATTTGTAGTGATGTTGATGACTGGATATCATACTTGAACCCATCAAGCAAGCTGCCAAACTTGACATTATGTTACTGGATTCTCTGGGGCACATGCAGTACTGTTTCATGCCAATTGTGGATTATATCACCAACACTCCTGAGGCTGCCATGCTCACAGCTGTTGGGGGAAAGACTTCCCTGATCACCATGGCGATGTACAAACAGTTTGGAGACCCATTCTGACATGAGCCATGAACTGCATCCACCACTTTGGCTCAGCTCGCAGTGGTGAAATCAAAGGTCCACCCTACAAACATCCAAGTCTTCTTTTGTGAAGCACAGCACTTTTGCCTCAGCAGAGTTAGTGACCCATTTTGGAGGGACATTCTGCTTTCTTGTCCAAGCACTTTTATAACTCCAGAGCCCCTTCACCACCTGCACAAGGAAGTTTGGGACCATGACATGAAGTGGTGCATAAATGCAGTTGGTGAAGCTGAAATCAACTTTTGCTTCTCAGTTTTACAGCCTACTGTGGGGTTCTGTCACTTTAAAGGTGGTGTTGCTAAGCTGAAGCAGGTGACTGGATGTGTGCACTGTGGTGTCCAATGTTACATTGTTGGTGTTATCACTGGAGCAGCCCCTCCCAAAATTATTACTGCTATTCATGCACTCATGGACTTCTGATACCAAGTCCAAGCTTACTGCATTGACAACAATGATCTTTGTATAATATCTTCTGTACTGGATGAGTTTCATGTGCACAGGCAGTTGATACTTGATCATGGTGCATGTGTGGTAAGGGAAACAAGCCCATTGACAATTGGCACATCCCCAAGTTAGAACTCATGCAGAGCATTGTACCAAGTGTGAAGCATGTTGGGGTCACCATCCAATGGACTGCCAATGTAACTGAACATGCCCATGTATTGGAGATCAAGACACCCACATCAGCTAGCAATAACAATAACCATGATCCTCAAATTTGCTTGTACCTTGATCATGCTGAAAAATGTAGGACATTTGAACTTGCAACATCATTATATGAATTGAAGACTCACTCCCATGGTTGTGTGGAAGAAAAGTCCTTGGAGGTTGAGGATGGGAGTTCTGATGATGGTGACAGTGAGATCAGTGATTGCGAAGAGGCAAATCTAGTTTCCAAGATGCCAGGTCCCATGCAGCCTGTCACTGATTACTTTGCCATCTCTGCACACCTCAGGACCCAGGATCCAGACTCCATTCCCTTCCCCTTGTGTAGTTTTATTGCAGATGGTACAGTGATCAACCTTTCCTATGACCCACCCTTGCAATGCATTAGTGTTGATGGTGCTGCTGAGAAGTTTGGTCTACTTGACCTCCAAGCCACCCTTGTTGATTTTCTAAATCATGAGAAGGTGTATGGACCAAGCTCTGTGCACACTATAAGCAGGCAATGTTGGGGATCAAGCTCTTCAACCCTGCCTTTTACTGATCTGCAGGTTTGGTACAAGATGTGGCTGCAGAACATGGCGATACATGATATCACAGACATCCTCCCTGCCCAGACTCTCTTCTGTTCTCCACCTTGCGAGACCTGGACCCTTGGCTGCTATGATGCATCTATCATCAACATGGACCCCCATTTCAAATGGCCAGAGAGTGGCCTGAAAGGTTTGTGGTCCACACTACTTTTCCATGTCACTCACAAGAGTATCTTAGGTCATGTTGTTGGCCAGCTCTGTCTCCTGATGCACCCTTTTGGCAAGAGGGGGGTAAGATGGTCATGGACAGATCGTTTTTTGGTCTCCATACAACATTTTGACATAGCAGCTGAAGATGTGACACACCTACATATCCTTAGGCATGCAAAGAGAGTGAATGGCCAACATCTTGGTGATGTCATCCTGCTCAGTCAGGTCTGGGTGTTCGCACATCTCATACCTTGCTTTGGGCAAACTGCAGATAATCAATTGATGGCATACAACTCCTTTGAGCATTCTACCAAATTCTATCTCAACAAATACTTTGACAAAAATATGTACTTTTCCCTAAGTCATTTGGACTCTCCTCCCATCTAGTCAACATACATGTTACCTTACTGTATACCAGAGCTTATTACATGTTAATGTTGAAATGCATCAGTATTTTGAGTGGTGGCACCATTTTTGAACATGTGACCCTACTTGTCAACAACCCTCAGAAATGTCCAAAGACTTGAACAAAAACAGATATTGAACAATAGATGGTACCTACAAGCTGATCAGTTCTCTCCCCCTGCCCAAACATGACTGCATGGTTCATGTTATGGACAAGTTCACTGCTTCAGAACTTGAGGGCACCATCATCTGTGAACCACAGATACAAGTTAGCTCTCCTCAGAGCCTTGGTTATGTTACAAATATTATCTTTGAGTCCTTCAGAGATACATTCACCTCCATAGCTCCCAGGTCCCTGATTGTCCCTCTGAAAACAATTCCTGCATGTGTCTGTAGCTATTCTGCCTCCTTCAACCAGGGTGGCTTGTCAGAGGACAGCCTGGTCAGCCTATATGATGATGATAGAAAGTGCTGGAACTAGGAGCTTCATCCACCTCCAGGCTCTGATTCACCTCCCAAGCAACCCAGGCCACTTGCCTCAGAGCTGCTGGTAGAATCAGAAAAGCTCTGCTTTGAAAAGCAAATTGCTCTGTTTCTCAATGCTATTGGAACTGCCACAAAATCCATGATGCCCAGTCTATCCAGCAAACCTCAGTGTCAATGGATGGCAGACTGGAGCAGAACCAGCTTGTGAGGTTCTACAGGTTATTCCTGAAAGCCTGACCTCATCCTTGTTGATAACACCCCAGTATCCCTTGACAAGATTACATGGTCAAGTCCCAAAGTCATTGCTGAGTACTCAAAGGAGTCTTTCAAGCCAGCATCCCACCTTGGGAAGACAATGGACACTAAGGCATATCTAACCCTTGTCAACCAGCCCTGGAGGCACTATGTCCTTGGATTATCAATTACTGATAGCAAACTTCTTTGACTTCACTTTTACAACCACTCTGGTGGTGCAATCTCACCCTCTATCAATATCCACACTGATGCAGAAGTCTTCATATACATTGTATGTGCCATTGCATTCAGCTCCCACTCAACCCTTGGCTTTGATTCAACCATAGAGATATCCCCCCATCCTGCACACAGCTGCAAATGCACAGCACTTGTGACACCTCTCTCCCCTTGCCCCTCTCCTGCAATGCCTTCTCCTCACTTGGAGTTGGGCATCCTCCCCAGTGCAAACTCACTCCTGACTCCTGCATCACCTGAACACATCCCAGCAATTGGGAGGATCCAAGTAAACAAGACCTTCTATGAGGTGCTTGATGTATTATTCTCGAGCACAGGCTTTCTAGGAAGGGGTAGTGTTTGTTACCTCACACACTACAATGGGGAATACTATGTCATCAAGGATTATTGGGTGGAGGAGTCAGAGCAGAGGACAGCCCTGCATGAAGTCAACATGATGAAGCTGGTCCAGGACATTGATGGAGTTCCCAAGTTGCAACACTACTGGGTTGTTGAGGTCAAGTTGGGCATTGTTGATAAAACTGAATGATATTGTGATGAGAAGTGGTGATTGTGCATGAAGTCTCAGAGAACTCATGTGTGATTGGCTATGAAGCCATGTGCAAGGCCAATGGTAATGTTCAAGACAAAAAAGGAACTTGTTTCATGCATCCAAGATATTTTACAAAGTATGTATCCTCTTCCACTTGTAAAATCAATACTAATTGCTTTAACAGTCCAACAGCAGGCTCTTGAGAGGGGTGTCCTCCATCGAGATTGTAGCATCAACAATACAATGATTGAGGACTTCACAAAAGGGTTGTGTGGCTTTCTCCTTGACTGGGAATTTGCTGTATGGGTCACATTACAGGGGGAATATGACTTGGGCAGCACAGTAAGTACTATGCAAAACATTTTGGAACTTGAAGCTGATAGTATGCAAAGGGGACAGTCCCCTTCCCTTCAGTGAATATCCTTTGCCAACTCAAGGAAGCCATCACTAAAAGTGGAAAGACCAATGTCCCATTGATCTGGAAAAGTGCCTCTCACCCACATATTCATCAATCACCCTACTACTATACACCATACATTTGCAGATGATATCAAATCCCTGTTCTACATTTTCATCTGGATCCTCATCCTTTATGATGGGCCACTTGGCCACAAGCATCAAGATATCAGCCATGAAAAGACACTTCTTGGCTTGTGGAGTGAAAAGGTGGCTGAAGATCTCGAAATTGCCAGATGCACCAAGTTCACATTCCTTAATGACCTGTCCAAATCATGGCTGGATTCTGAGGTCTTGCAATATTTTCAAGATCTAATCCCTCTGGCTAATGAGTGGCACATATTGCTTGGGCAGTCCCTGTTGAGTGGAACTGCAGTGCAGTTCTCTGACGTTATCTCCCTTTTGATCGTTTCTTGGCCAGCATGCCATACAAGAAACCACTGGAGATGATGAATGCATTCCAGCAGATCATTGCCCAGCACAAAGTGCTTAATTCAAGCATGCATCCAAGTCAGGAGAATGATATGGATGTTATGTCTTCAGCAATTATGTCTTCTAAACACCTTTGTGAAGAGGTAAGGAGCATGGATAACCCTCCTATACCCAATAAACACTTCAAAGGCATGTAGTCTTAGCATGAATTTTATGTTTAGTTCATGTTCTGTATGTTATGTGTAAAGTGTTTCAATTTGTTTGCAGTGGGTAACCATCTCTACACATTGTTTTGTTTTATGTCTTGCAATGAACCTGTCAATGTTTATATGGATTCACAAGATGTCATTTTGTCATGGTCCCCAGGCTTCCATCTTATTCTGTTCTCTGCTTAACTGCTTGTACCTTCAGATGTCCACCCAATCTGGAACAATCCCACTGAAAAAGAAGGATAGCAAAAAAGCCAAACGATGACCAGAGGCTGATGGAAGCACTTGACCCACAAAAAACAAGCATCTAGGAAGCCCACTCATTGATCTCAAAGAGTCTCAGTCTGTTGCCACAGCAGGACTCTGTTGTAGTGGAAGGGCAGGGGTGGGTTCAGGTGGAAGGGCCAAGCAATTGGAGTGGATTGGTACTGCCCTTGAAGGCTGAGCTACACAGCCATGAAAGTTGACAGATCTCCCCAACAATTCCATTGTAAATCCTCTTGCACCTCCACCCACTTGGTGGAAAAAGGGTGGGGGCCACAGTGCTGGCCAGAATGCAAAACCAAATGTCAGTTCTAGTTATTTGCAAATATCAATATCAAGCTAACCACTTGCAAAGTCCAATGTCACCCCACCACCCTATGCCCCTCCCATTGTGAATGGTCCTAGCCCAGCTGATATGCCACCAGTGAGTGTCTTTTCATACTGATATACAATGTTCATTTCAGAATCCCATCCCTCAGTCTTCAACAGCAGTAGCAACACCTGTCTTCCATCAGCACCCCACAGACTCCCATTGCTTTGGTTTCAGTGTTCCAGCTCAACAGCCAGGTCATATCATGCCTCCCAGGATGGAACCTGACCTTCAAGTGCTCAATAATCCTTATATCACCACAATTCAGGGAGACCAACTTCCCAGTAATAAATCTCATCTGCCAACATCCCAGCCCAACTACCAGTCTTGGTTTATCCCCCACCAGCTGCCTGCTACTGTCCCTGACTCTTGTATCGACCCCTCCCTTGATAGCTTGCTCTCATTGAGACAAACTTTGGCAACCACTGATGTTCACCACAAGAGTTTGGAGAAGCTGCCATCAGAGGGCTCCTCAGAAGAGGAGTCAGAGTCCTCAAGTAATAACCCATTGGATGCAGAGGCTGGTGAGGTCTCCAGTGATGAGTCCAACAAAGATGAGGACAATGCATTTGGATGGGGTGCAATGAATCTTAGGCAATCAACTCATCCTGGTATGTGTCAGAGGTTCTTATGGTACTGGCTCAACATTCTTTGTTAGGCTTCTCCCAAGAAACAATGACAAGCAATCCTATTTGCCACAATTCCTTACCCCTTGACCATGAGTTTCAGTACTCATGCAATGAGGATGACAATGCAGCTCTGTGAAGCTTACAATCCAAGGACAAGGCTCAGCCAGAGGTACAAAAATGCCATTCCTACTAGCTTTATTTATTCAGATTGTTATTTTAGGGTTCCCAACATGGCACTGTCATCAACATTCTTGAACACCACCATCACACTAATGGCCATCCTTCTGTTCCCAATCATGATCTTCTGACCCTTGCACATGACTCAGTCAACAAAGTATCTCAACATGCCAGAGCCCCTTGCAACTCCAAGAAAGTCAGACTGTCTTGAAGATGCTAAGCAAGAATGCAGGGCTGCACATGCACTTTCTAACCTGTTCCCATTGAAATCTCACAACCTCAACCTCTCCATAACAGAGGTGCTCATCACTGTCATCATTGAGTGGAATCAACATGGTGTGCAATTTGAAGATGGTGAGTAACAATATTTTCACTTTATATGTGTCTCATTATCCTAACTTTATAGGTTACTGGCCTGACCACACACAAGATATGGCATGCCTTGTAAGTAGTCCTGTCTTTTGGTTACAGCTACTGAAATACTGCTGGTAGCTCCTTGGTGATATATCTACCTGGCATTCAGAATTGAAGTCAGTTACACTGGCAACCATGCCATCTGTGTTCAACCTTATCCATCCTTCTGATGTTGCACCACAAATTTGTGTGCAATGGATAGAGACTGCTGCTGCAAAGCTCCTTGACAACTTGCTTTTCCTGTGAGATGGTTTTGACAAGAATGTACATTCACATGGTTCATTGTCTGCACTACTAATGGATTGGTTTATCAGGGAAAAACCAGGAATTTTGCTCACCCTGCCCTCAAGGAAGCTGTCATACAATTCTACTATACCAGGACCTATCGAATCACAGATAAGCATCCTGAGTCCTTCAACAATTCAGTTCCCCTTTCCTGTCTGGCTCTTGTTGCAGCTGCAGTGAGTTATTTTACACCTTGAGTCACTGCAACTCAAACTTTTCTCACAATATCATTGTGTGTTGGATGGATTTGTGAAGAATAGCACAGGAAAGACAATGCCTCAATTCTCTGGCAAGGCTTACAATTCCATTTTCCATGGCATGATGAAGGTGCTGAATGACATCCTTTGTAATCCCTATCACAGTGTGAGGTTGCACAAGCAGCTTTCTCAGTGGGTGAAGGAAGGATGGTAAGTACTGGGGCAGCTGATGTGCTCATGCTGACTCCTTGTATCAGGGCTGCACTGCAAGAGGTTGATTCAAATGTAGAGAGGTACCAGCACATTCAGGCAGTCCTTGATTGATTTCATAATACCTAGTCCTGTCATACCTGTCATTACACGTAGTATGCAATTGATGCCAATGCTCCTGTTCCTGTCATACCTGCTGTGAACTGTTCCTAGTTGTGGAGTGATCACATGTTTGCAAAGTAAACATTGAGATGGGGAGTACTGGACAACACCCCAAGGAGAATACAGTCTGGCCAGTTTTGTACAGTGATATCTAAGCATGAAAGTTCCATAGCAATCCATAGTAAGTAAGATGCTGGACAAAGTTCCATGACAGTGTGACCATTCCATAGTAACAGGCAACTAGCCATAGCAAAAAGTGTTGTTGGGTGCATCTGTCCAGCCTGGACCTAGCTAGGGGACTCTGTATATTATGGAGCACTGTGGAGAGCTCCACAGCTCAAAGTGATTTACTGATGTAAGAGCTTTGCCATGCAGGTGTTTCCTTCTTGATAGCACAAAGGAGCTCCCATAGTGGAGCCCTGTGTATGGTCCACCAATGGAGGACAATTGATGGAGTGCAGGCATAAACTGGGTCGAAAGAGAATGATTGCTCCTAGATAACACTTTCTGGGTGAAGCTGAGACCAAATGCATCAGAGCTTGTATGGAAACTGTAGTTCAGTTGAGGTTCACACAGTTCTTGGATTGTTCTTGTTTGACAAGTGGTGGAGAGATCCAGGCCAATGACTTGGAGATTGAAATGTTGGTATCCCTCCCAATGGTAGGATGTCTCTCACTCCCTATCTTGCCTCTGCCGATACTCAATGTGAGCACATCCAGCAAGTACTGATTGAACTTTTTAATGTTCTTGGATCAAACATCATGGAACTAGCAGCACCTGTGGGAGAAGTAGATGAGGGAGCCAAGTGTGCTGACTGGACAACAGAGGAGACCACTGCACTCATCAAGTACTTGCATGTACATTGCTCAGAATGTGCTGACACTGGGAACTTCTGCGAAGTGACATATGTCAATGCTGCAGAGCACATTCACCCACTCCATCAGACTGGTAAGATCAAGGATTACAAAAATGTGTTGATCAAATGGGGATCAATACATCCTTCCCTACTCTAAGTCTGCTATATTGACATTCAGCAGATGTAGATCAAACAAATATACAATGCAATAATGACTTATTGCAGAGGATCAGGAGAACATTGGGACAATGAAAATGGTGTGAATATCTGTGGAGCAGCTGACATGGAAAAATGGGGCAAGTTTGTTGCCATCAAGGTATGTATTTGGTATGAATAGATACTAATATGTTACTCAGACATTCAGAGAAATACAATTATGAGGCCCTTCCGTAACAAGGGCTGGGAGTACCTCCAGTTCATGGAGGATATTTTTCCACAGGGCAGCACAACTGGCACTCATGTTTTCTGTGCTGGGATGTCAAACCCCACCCCTATCATGACTACTGGCAGTACTGCTTCCATTCCTTCCATCCCCCCCCCCCCCCCACTGCTGCCACATCAGCCGAAATTTCTGACCCCACTACTGCATCCACTTTGGCTGGAAAGTGCTTGTTTGTGGTAATGTCCACTGATATCACAGCAACAGAATCCCCCTCTGGGCCCTCCCTTCTATTCTCAACAAACCAGCCTCCCCAGTCGACTCTGGTCTCATCTGCTCATGACAGTAAGTGCAGCCAGACATCCACATGCTCTTCCAGCAAGGCAAAGCCTCAAGCCACCAATGCTCACACTGTTGCAGTTGTATCAGTCAACACTAAAATCCGGCACCTGGGGGACCAGCTGTCAACAACATTCATGGATCCACTGATTGCAGTTCAGACAGCCACTCAGATGTTGTACAAAGATGCCAAGATCCTTCCCTATCACCACACATTCATGACATGTCAGTTCTCCAGCATATCTAATGCTGCAGCTGTCTTTATTTCTTTGCCTGATCAACAAGCCCAGCATGCATATGTGGTAGATATGTATAACTCTGCCCAAGAAGGAATGGGCCATGGCACATAGAATCCCCCCCCCCTCATCATCATGTAGCTTCATGTCTTGTATCTAGTTAGTGCTGCATGTATATTCGCTGCAGAATGCATACATTTTCTCCTCTGAACATGTCATAAATTGATTCAGTGCAAGTATGAGATGCAGTAACTATGCTAAACAAAATCTGCCACTTCATCTTTAAAGAAATCTGATTCTATGTCCAATTCTGCATCCATGTCACCCCTCTGCACTCACTCTCCCAAGACAAACTGATAGTCATTCCACATTTCTGTTGCAATGTCATCCTGCATCCTGTGCACAAATAAGTCTTCTTCTACACCTGTTGCACATCCCATAGCTTGGAGATGAACAGGAGTGCCTTCACCTTTGTCATCTTCATCAGCCATGAGGTTGCCTGTGCCCTCCCCATTCTGATCATGGGTATAGATGAAATTGTGCAGTGCACAGAGGGCCATGGGAATTTGTGCCTGTATGTCAATGTCATATTCTGGTGCCAGGAGTAGTATTCAAAACTGGCACTTCAAAACACCAAAAATATGTTCTATCACATTCCATGCAGATGTGTGCTGCAAGTTAAAGAGTTCCTCTCTATTCATCAGTCTGATTGGAACTAAGAAAATGGAAAAAGGAATGGAAAAAGGAAAACATACCAGGTGTTGGCATGGCCCCATTCCACAAGATGATACTGAACACCTCAGTAGGGGATGAGCAGCTCTTGACATGAGGGGTAGCCAGCATCAGCAAGAAGGTATTTTTCAGTGGGGATGTGGAGATTGGCAGATGTTGCATTGCCATATACATGAGCATCCATCACAGACCCTTCCCACCCTGTCAATGTAAAGACAAGCCTCAGACTGAAGTCACAGATAAAAAGCCCATTCTGTGAGAGGAATCCTTTGTGATTGCAATAGTTTGAATGTATGATTGCAGGGGGGGATACAGGAATGTGGCAGCCATCGATTGTGCCAATTGCATCCTGAAAGTATGGCCAAAACTTGGGGTTGTGGCATATTTTTGGATGGACAGCTTCACCAGTTGGAAACTGTATGTAGATGGAATAGAATGGTGGGTCTGAACATATAAAGAGCAATTTCCTGAAGTATCTGTACACAAATATGTGAATTGTCACATGGATATTGTATTGAACTCACTGAGATATCATATCATTTGATCGCTGAAATCATTCACCAATGTGCCTGATTGTCAGGCCAGTTACACATGTATACAGGAAAATCATGAGCTGTTCCTCCAGGGTAACAAACTTTGAGTTTTTGTGACCAATACCTCAAAGCTCCTTGATGAGCTCAACAAAAACCTCCTTGCTCATACCAAACTCACAGCAGATATGATCAGGATGACCAGTCAAGACTTCCTGGACCCACATTTCTCTGGAGAGTCTGGAGGTGTGGTATCATCACCAAAATTGCAGAAAAACAAGATACAAATATATATAAATATATTCAATGTAGACACCAATGATGCTGTAGATAAAGAGCAGTCATGTAGTAAAATCTACGAAAATGCTCTTTTACAGAGGAATGCCTGTTGATGCTGTCATTGAATAGAGTTTCGATGTCAGTTTTCATTGACATGCTTGTTGTTGCTGTTCACTCTCCATGATATAGCAGATGACAACAACATATATCATGATCATTGCATTTCAACACCATCATACCACACATGATCCCAATACCTGTAGCTATCTGAATGTATACATTGCTAGTTGGCAATCAATGGTTCCATCTTGAGAAATCTACAGAATACTAATATACAGAGCCAGTGTGGGACTTGGAGAGTAAAATGGCTGGGAAGTGTGCGAGTGAGAGAGCAGAACAAGACAGCAACAAGTGGATGAATAAAACATGCAATGGCAGCTGCCTCAAATAGGTAGCCACCAAACAACAGAACTTAATGAGATTAGGCATGCACAAGTTACTTTTTCTTGGGTGCCCACAAGCTTGATCTCCTTGTCATTGTTTCCTTGGTTGGCACCTTACTCTGATCCTTAGTCTTCTTGGAGCATACACCATGTCCCTCCTTTGTTGTCTTAGAAGGCTTACTCATGGTGGCCTTCCTACCCCACCATGAATCACAGTCTGTTAATGGACTACTCTGTTCACCAGTGGAAAATGTCACACTGCACTTGCATTTGAGTTGTGGCATCCAATCAGTGAGATTGTTCACCTGCAAAGCAGGTGAAGGATCCAGATTTGCCCATGATTGCCTTTGGGCATGGCATTCTGGTTCTGAAGTAGAAGGCTGTGGTGAGTGCACTAGGGACAGCCAACTAAATGATGAACCTGTATTTTTGGGAGACTGGACTGGAGATGGAGGACTTCCTGGCAATGCCCTGCAGCCAATTGTGTCATTTTCTGAAGCAGATTTTGGTGAGCAAAAGGAGGACAGCTGACTGAACAAAAAACCTGTATTTTCAGGTGACTGGATGGGAGATGGGGGACTTCCTGGTGACAGCCTGTGGTCATTTGTGTGATGTTCTGAAGCCATGGGCTGTGGGGTATTTGGGAAGGACACCTGAGTAGGTGAACAATTTTCAGAAGGCTGAGTCCCAGAAGACAGGCCAGATGAACTGGCAAGATGTGCAGCAATTTGTCACCTCATGATGGCAAGGTTGTCATTGTCATCATCAATATTGACATCATCACCTGTGGTGCCATGAACATCATTAAACAATACTCTATACCTTCATGTCAGTATGCACTCCACAAGAGCCCCTTGCATACTTGTTGTAATGAGAGAACAGCTCTTCAGCTCAAGCCTCATCTTTGTTGTTGATGATAAAGTCAATAATTCAATAATAAAACTTGGAAAAAGAGAATTGCCCATCAAATTTGACAAATTTGTCTTGTGAACAGATGCTGAAATGTGCCTGTGGAAGAGGGTAGTGCATATCATTCTAACACCATATCACTTACATGTACTGTGGCATATGTGATATGGTAAGCATCTACATGGGCTATGTGGTGGATCTTTGCATTGCTGGCATGTGTGTTGTGCACTTTGCTACCAGGAAAAGCAG